CCCCAAAACCCCAAAACCCCTATTCTAAGAATTTTAAAAATAGAAATGAGACTGAGTTGTGTTTTATTAATAATCTTTTACAATAATAAATACAATGAAGTCAAAAAATGATAATTTGCTATAAAGGCAATCCGTTAGACTTATGATTTTTATTTTAGGCATGCAAATGCTGTTTCTCATTGAAAATACTGAAGCTAATGTTTAGAGTCAGCATTTCATTGACATTGAAGACAGAGCATCTGTAGAGATTAAGTTCGCATAGGCTGTAAGAGAGAATACACTACCGATAAATCCAAAATCTGAGCAGAGTATCTTCGATAACAATAAGTTTATAAGTAAAAGCTAAACAGTAGAGGCCACAACTACACTAGCATAATGGGGAGAGTTTTCTGGAGGATGTTTTCTAGGAGTTTCAGTTGCTTTATCAACTCAAGTGGATAATGTTTGCCTCAAGAATATCGCTACTCTTACAGAGAGTGGCTATTTGATCTATTATTACATGGCCAGGTATTACACAACCTAATCTACTGATGATGCCTCTTACGCTTTTGCATACATTCTTAAACTATTTAGAACTGGTATGACTTTCGACTGCACTGGAGGTATAAGCTTTGCTTCAAGAGACTCTTTTAATACTAAAAAGAATATATAGTAGAAAGCTAATCATTCAAAGTTTTCTATAGTAAAAGCTGAGTCAGATGCTAGTGATTTGATTGGCTTACTTATACAAGTGCTTGGTGATGTATAGGAAGCCATGGGCCTTTTAGAGATCTTTATTGACTCTTAGACCATTTATTCAGAGTGGCAGGATGGGGACTACTTTGAGGCAGGTCTATATACTGGTAAAGGTGTTACTAATGCTGCCTATACGTTTTACGGAATAATTTAAAGAGTTATTAAAAATTACACGTGATGTGAACGGAACTGCTAATCTTAATTGTTACAATTGTGTATAAATATAAATCAAGAATACATTCCCACCTAATGTGATACTAATGTATTTATATATTTATTTGAAGTCTCTAAACATTCCAAATTTTACGTTTTGGGGTTTTGGGGTTTTGGGGACAATTAAGGTTCTAGTTAGCACTAGCCCA